GGATGTAAATCTGAGGAAGGGTGGGAGAAGGGGGGAGGAGGGGTGGATAGTCAGGGGATAAATTTTGAGATTTACTGAGAATTGGATCTACTGTTGCATCATGGATCCCGTCCTAGGTAGGTCGTGCACTGGGCTCGAGAGCGGCCTATATAAAGCCGCCGTATCTGTACTGTAGGCAGTATTGTATTTAGCGTAGTGTTTTGTGTGGACCAGTGTCAATCCCATCGAGGAGCGTGCCTATCCCGTGATGTGCGCCGACCAGGACGACTCTCGAAGGACGAGGACCCCGTTGCTACCCCCAGTAATTGCCGAGGGGTCGATGACCCGACGTGACAGGCCGCAGTACCCGGACCAGTGAACCCAACACAGGGACTGTTAGATGGAGTTTAAAACGCGATTTTCGCTTTTGAAATTTTGCAAGTTCGCTTTTCATTGTAGCGAAATTTGCGCTGCTAACATGTACTGGCATCCCTTCGTCTGTTGTTATTTGACCGAAGCAAAAACGTTCGAGAGCAACTTGCTTGTATTTCTAGCAAATTCGCCACCTCTTCGTTTTGGTGCATTGGTTTTGAGCGAGAGATGGCTTATCAGCGTGTTGTTTTTCAGATTCACAATGGAATGAATCAGTGGAATCAACCAGCACGCACCAATGCGGGAGGAGCAGTGGTGCCCGTTGTACCAAAGCCAGCATTCACGCCCAGTTTTGTGAATCGTTCACCGCCACCCGGATCATCGTTCAATTCGTACCCACCGATTTCACAGACCGATTCGGTTTGCATTTAATCGGATTCGCTGTAGCTTTAGAAGAATTAAATTCATAGATTGTTGCTTTGTTCTGCTGCTTTGCGCAGCATATGTCTGGGGTTTTATAAATTTTTTTATTTTTTGTCGATTTATTGTCCGGGGAAAAAAATATCTAAAGTAGCTTGCAGTAACACACTGCATGCTACTTTCGTTGCAGCCGTCACACTGACGAGGTCCAGTTGCAGCACTGAACAGGAATGTATGCGACTTGATGGACCAAAACATTTCTATTCAGAT